TCTCACACGGAGTGTCATAGAAAGTGATACCAAGGTGGCGGCGTGCCTGATTGCAACGCAAGCAGAGTGGGAGCCACCCGCTCGCACGGGATGCGCCGACCCACCTCAAAGTAGCTGCCCATGGCGGCAAACGCCCCCGCGGTGGCGATGGTCATGGTGGGCTCCCGGCCCCGCAGCCCAGGCATGATGCTGGACCTGCGCTGCCGCCTCAACTGACAGGGGAGGGAGGCGTGGATGTGCGGCTGGGTGAGCGTCGGGACATGCAGGTCACCAGTCTGGTACGCATCCTGCTGGCCTTCAGTACAAGGGACACTGGGGCGGTCAGATGCCAGCCATGGCCCCTTCGCATCCCAAGCCTCCTCGTTCCTCACCTTGAAGGCTTGCCTCCTCGTGTCCGGGGAAGATTCGCGCTCCGATGCCTGCTGTGAGCCAGCCACGACGCCCACGAGGGCTGGATGGATGGCCGGCGGCTCTGCCCAACAGGCGCTGTCTATGCTAGCTGCTGCAGGGTGAGTGTGAAGGGGGGAGGTGTCAATTTTAGGATTTCCACGCCTGGAGAGCATCTTGCATCACTGATCATCCAAGTCCCATCATGGACTCGCATGCCCTGCGCTCATTCAGGTCCCACATGCTGCAGAGGCTCCATCACGCTTCCTGCCACTCAAACATGCCTGCGGGCGGACCAGGCTCTGCATGGCTGGGTCGCAGCCTACTCAGCCTCAACCGGGCCCTGACCTCCTCGAAGCTGAGCTCTTCTGCTCATGGGACGGGGGTGCTGTGTGTGAATCTTGTCGTCACCGGGATGCAGATTTACACACAGGATTGAAAAGCAGGGCAGGGGGGCAACTCGCACCAGGAGAGCAGGAACACACTAGGGCCCTGAGATCTCCTTCTTTCCTTCCTCACGCACCGCCATCAGGGCCCCGCAGCAGCTGCGTGTCGCAGGCCAGCACCTCCTCCGGCCTCGCGCCCTGCGCCCTGCCCCGCTCCAGGTTTTGCTGCAGGTGGGGTGGGGGTTGGGTGCGGCGATCGATTGGGGGGCACGCCCGGTGTTTCTGGAGAGCTTTGCTGCGTATGGCCGACCCAGGCTGCCCCGGCTCGCCAGAGGATCGTCAGCATGAGTGAGCACCAGCGCAACGATCTGTACACCCACTGGTCATCGCGAGGCACGGACCTTGTGCAGGCGCAGGGGGTCCGAGGCTCCAGGCGCGGCGATGCTGGAGGTAGACGGGTGCAGGCCAGCCTCGGCACCCCGCTTTCCTTCCAGGTGATCCCGCAGCGTTCCCTGGCATGGGCCGGGTGGCAGGTCGTCACACACATTGCACACCATACAGCACAGGACCGAGACCTCTCTCCGTGACAGAGGACGTGGCTCGGCCGCATGCCATGCCATCCATGTCCAGAAACCAATGCCCTTTGTTGGACACCACAACTCTACCACCCCCCACCTGCTGGACCCCCAGCAGCCGCTGCCGGTCCTGCGCCTGGCTGGCTTCAAGCTCGGGGTCGGCGAAGACCTCCAGGGCGGGGGCGGGCTCCGTTGCCGCGCTGCCGTCCTGCTCCAGACGCTGCCCCACCCAGGGCAGAGCGGCCTGGGTGTTTTCCTTCCTGCCCACCTCGGCGGGGGTCAGGCGGGTCCAGGTCGGAGTCGAGCCACTCCTGCGCACGGGGGTATCCGGGAGGACTTTCTTTTTGCCTCGCGCATGTGCGCGGGCTGCACGCGGGCATCTGTAGCCATCCAGGCTCCCCCCACCTCACATCTCCCGCCTCACCGGGCCGTCAGGGAGGGGCCTGGGCAGGCCGGCGCTCCCGGCTCATCGGCGAGGACGCTGAGGGGCGCAGCACCGGCCGCCGGCCCGCCACGGACCTGACCAGCTGCCGCCGCTGCCGCCCTGCCCAGGGGCGCAAAGGCCGGCCTGCCTCCCGGTGGCCTAGCGCCCCCAAGGGCGCCGACTGCCTGGCCGAAGCGGCGGGCAGGTGCGGCGGCGCCGGTCTCTACGGGGCCGAGGGCCGTGGCGGAGGCCGCCGCATCCCGCTGGATCCTTCGTGCCTGCGATGCGGTGAGGGGTCCAGGTGGTGTCAGGTGGGGTGTCCGCAAACCCAGCGCATGTCCTGCTGGGCACCCATCAGCAGCTCAGAAAACCTCCACACGGCCCCCCGAGGTGGAGCCTCACCCCGTACCACCCTGCACCCACCATCCTGTACTGGAACTCGGTGTGCTTGGCCTTCAGCCGCTCCAGTGGGGCTGCGTGTAGGTCGATGCCACGCAGGTACGCGGCGTCAGCGCGGCCAAAGGCGCCCCGAAGCTCCAGGCAGGTGGCGTGGGCGATGTGGAAGAGTGCGTGCCCCTGCCCGATGTCGTTCTGTGCCAGGAAGGAGAAGACGTCCTCCGGCTCCGCCAGGCAGTCCGCCTTGTATTGTTTTTGGTGGGGGAGGAATGGAAGAGTGAGCTGCAGGATGCAGAAACAACAGTGCTATCGTGTGGGGAGCTCGGCACAGAGTTGCCATGGGCGCCAGAGAAATGGCATGGGACCTGTGATTCTCTTCCGTAACAGAAGAGCTTCCCCCTCCACACACACACTGCGCAGACATTCGCACGCAGGCCACCACATGCCCCCTCACGTATAGGATCCAGATGCGGAGGAAGCGTGGATCGTTGCGGTACCGCTCGTCGGATTGTAAGGTCGAGGTGCAGCGCTCCAGCAGTGGGATCAGCTCCGCCTTGTGACCGCCAGCGGTATAAGTCTCCCGTGTCCAGTCGATGAACCTGCGACGGCATGTCATCAGTCAGTCTCAGCCAGAGGCCAAAACACGAGGGCAAGGCTTACCTTGTAGCCCTGACAAACCTTGCACACACATCTGGACCTCTTCCAAGTCACACAGTAAGAGTGAGCCCTGCCTCAGAGGCTCCAGTGGATCAGTATACTCCCCTAGCCAGCGGCGTCAACTCGGCCTACCTTTGCCACGCTGCCAGAGGATCGTCGCTCTCGTCATCTGCAATCGCCTGCCAGAACTGCCTGCATGGGGGGTGAGACAATTCAAGGACCAAAGCACTCACAGGCTGTTCTCTCTGCGATGTCCGAGCTCACTCCAGGAAAAAAAGACATCTTAATCGAGCATTGTACCTCTTGACAGCGTCCAAGTTGGCGGATCGGAGCTCCTCGGTGTTGTCTTTCAGGCCTGCCCCCTTCCGCCCCTGTCGCAAGGGCTGGAAATTCTCCTTCGAGAGCTCCCAATCGGGCTGCTCCACATCGGGATCCGTCATAGCGCCAGCAGTAGATGAGGTGGTGGTGGGTTGTGAAGATGCAGGGGCTGGTCGACAGGGCAATGATGTGCTCCGATGGGGCGCGACAGCTTTCCCGGGTTTGAGCAGGGTGCGCAGCACGCGCGCCACACCGGCGCGATGCTGGATCACTTGGGGAATGTCTGATGGCTTCCGATGCGGCCGGTGCATGCAATTGGAGGGCATCCTACAGTATGAAAACACTGATTGCTCCCCCCGGATACCGTCTTGGCTCCAGATCGCCACTGGGCTCTGGCTTTGGGCCCTCGAGCCAGCCCCCGACCGACTAAAAACTGCGCAGACTCTTACCAACCACAGTCCTTACCTCTCGGATCAGGATCCGAGGTGCCTAGTAAAACCTATGCCACCCGTCTGATGGAGCTGCTGGATTCTGGCCTGAGCCAGGAGGACTGGCAAGTCCTGGGCTCGGAATTCTACTCCCTGCGCTCCCTTTACTCCCTGGAGTGGGACAAGGACCTTGCCCTTACACGGTGACAAGCGGGCTGTGTTGGGTGAAGGGTGGGGTCATGGCGGATTACTCTGTCCGAGCCAGTTTTCTGTCGTGATTGGCCAGGCAAACATTATGGAAGTGGGGGTGGCCATCTCCCAGGTTCTCAACCCCCAGAGCAACCTTCACATGCCCTTACAACCCCTGCCCGCAGCGTCTTCACCGGTCAGCATGGCGGCCCCATGGCAACGGTGTGGGACGAGGCCCAGGTCCGGCTGTACATAGGGTCAGCGTCCCGCCCAGACATCCACATCTACTCTGCGGCCGGGCGCCAGCTGGGGCTGGTGCTGTGGGAGAGGGGCAGCGTCCTGGCGGCGGGCTGGAGCAGCGCCGAGGAGCTGCTGGTGGTGGAGGAGGAGGGCACGGTGCGTGGGCAGGAGAGGGTTGCTTGTGTGATATTAGGGGCGGGCAGGGGTGCCTTTAAGCGTTGCATGGAGTGGGTTTGGGAGGACCAAGCGAGGCAGGTGAGGCAGCATCACGGCAGTATTCACAGGCATGACGTGCCGTGGATCTGCGGTGGCCCTGCAGCCTGGCCCCGGTCACGCTGAGCTCCCTCACAGCTGCCCTTCCTCCTACATTGCGCGGGACACGAATCTCGTGCCTAATCTTCCCCTCCCCTAGAAAGAAAGGAAGGAGTTAAGACCTCAAATCCCTCTGCTCAGGTGCACCGGTATGACGTGCGCGGCCAGGAATCGGCCCCGCCCTTCTCCCTGGGCAAGGAGGCGGAGGAGGAGGGCCTGCAGCTGGCCCGGGTCTTCCCCGCCGGCGTGGTCGGCCTCACCCGGCGCGGCGCGCTGTGGATTGTGCCGACGCTGGACCGGCCCAGGCAGCTGCGCCTGCCCCTGCCCGCTGGAGCCAACGCGCCCGGCGACGACGGCGGCGGCCCCCACGCCGTCGGGGTCCGGGCCCTGGCGGTCCTCCCCACCCCCGCAGGGCAGCCGGTGCCCTCGATGCCCGAGGTCGTGGTCGCCCTGTATCAAACCCTGGTGCTTGTGGACGGCAGTAGGGGTGTGCCGCGCGCCAGCGCCCCCACCCCCGGCCCCGTGCTGCATCTGGAGGCCTCGCTGGATGGCATGCACGTCGCCGCATTCTGCGAGGACGGCAGCATCCGCGTCTGGGCCGCAGGTGTGTGTGTGTGTGCGTGCGTGTGGTTGATTGCGGTGGGAGCAGCGGCTTCTCGTGCTGGAGATTTGATTGTGATCTGGAGGAAGGGTTCTCTCTGCGTCGCAGCATGGCCCATACAGTCCAATTCCCCTCCCCCTTCCCCATCTCTCAACGAATGTAGAGCACCTGGACGTGGTCACATCGCTTGCCCTGGCCGACACGGCGTCCAGCCTGTCCGAGGACCTGGGCATGGAGACGCCGCCCGACGCCCTCCCCGATGCGCTGGCATGGGCGGGCTCGCGCGCCCTGGTGCTGAGCTGGGAGGGCGTGGGCCTGCTGCTTGTGGGCCTGGGCGGCGCGGCACGCTGGCGCGCGCACCCCCCCGGCGCCGGGCCGCGCCCCGCTCTCTCCCCCGAGCCCGACGGCCTGCGCCTGGCCGGCAGCGCCGCACACTGGCTGCTGCGCGCCGTGCCGCCCGCGCAGCGTTCGGTGCTGGAGATGGGGTCGCTGGAGCCGGGGGCCCTGCTCTTCGATGCGCGGCGACTGTACGAGGCCGGCGACGCGCGGGCGACCGCGGAGCTGCTGGAACTGGTGCGCGCGGGGACGCTGCCGGCCGCCGTGGCTGCCTGCCTGGCGGCCGCCGCCGCCGAGCTGGACCCCGCGCGCCAGGAGGCCCTGCTCCGCGCCGCCTGCTATGGCCGCGCTTTCCTGGGGATCGACCCCGCGCTGCCCAACGCGGCCGACGTGCCGGGGCTGGGGCGGCGCGACGCGCTGGAGGTCGCACGCAGTCTCCGAGTCCTCAACGCCCTGCACGACCCGGGTGGGTTGGGGAGAAAGAGAGGAGGGAAAGGAAGGGGGGGAAGGGAATCAACAGAGGCTTCAAGGCAAACGGCGCAAAGGCCTTGCGGTGCATGGCGGCGGGGGGGCAGCTTGAGGGCAGTGCATGCCACCATCTGTCGCAGTCGCCGGCCATGAATGATTGGAGCCCATGCTCGTGTATCTCATGTCCCCTCCTCATAACCCTCGTGCAACCCATGCCCAACCTCCCCTTCAATCCCACATCCCAGAGGTGGGCATCCCAATCACCATGGAGCAGCTGGAGGCGGAGGGGTGGGAACCCCTGGTCCGCCGCCTGGTCCGCCGCCGGCACTACCACCTGGCGCTGAGCGTGGCTCGTGCGCAAGGCCTGCCGGGGGAGGCCGTGCTCAGCGCCTGGGCCTGCGACAAGGTCACCGCCTGCGGGGGTTTGCTGGGCGACGCCGAGCTCCTCGCCGCCCTCAAGGCGCGCTTGTTGAAGAGTGGGAACGTGGAGGAAGGGGGGCCGGGCCTTTGCTTTGTGCACTGCAGCTCAAGGGGCAGGCGATGGGAGGGTCCTGGGGGTCATGTGATGTACTTTGGACTGACAATGAACTTGTCCTGTGCAGCAACCTGTTCAGCCTGGCTGAAGTGGCATTTCTCTGCAGCAACCCCAGAGCATGCAACGTCAAACCGCCCCATTACGCCCACATTCCATGCCCCACCACAGAGCAAGCTGGACGGCGCGGGCGGGGTGGAGTGGGCAAACATCGCCTCCCACGCTGCGGGGCAGGGCCGGCCCAAGCTGGCGGCGCTCCTGCTGGACATGGAGCACCGGGCCCACCAGCAAGTGCCCCTCCTGCTTGAGCTGGGTGCGGAGACGGGAAAAGGGAGGGGTCCAGCACAGGGCGCGTCGTGTGCTGCTGCAGCGCGTCGGCCTGTTTGCGGATCGGCGGCGTGTGATTTATTCATCCGAACCCCAATCTCGGCGTAGTCTCCGGAGCCCCTCACATGTGCTCCCGGGCCCCCCCATCCCTCCCTCGGCGCAGGCGAGACGGAGGCTGCGCTGGGCAAGGCCGAGACCTCGCTGGACGCTGACCTGATGCTGGACGCCTGCAGCGCGCTGTGGGCAGATGTGCAGCGTGCCCTGGTGAGGCGAGGGGGCTGTGTTTGAATCGCTGTGGGGAGAGCTGGAGTCTTGGGTCGGGCTTGAGTCACCTGCTCGCACCCACACCTGCCAGTACGAAGTTTCGAACCAAGCACTCATGTATCCGCGGCGCAGGCCACGGCGCCCACCCCGCAGCAGAGCGTGGCCGCCGGCCAGCGGTTCTGGACGGCCATGACCAGGCACCCCCTGGCGTGCGCGGTCTTCCTCCGCTACTCCGCCAAGCAGGTGGGTGCGACGGAGGGGAGGCGCTCTGATTGTGAGGGTGCCGATTCATCGGCTGTGTCCAAAGGCATGAGATCATTGACACTGGGACCCAGTCACTTTGTTTCAGACTGGATTTCGACCCTGCGCCCACTCACAAGCCTGCAGCACCTGGACCTCCAGGCTGTCCACCTCCCACCTCCTCAACCCCATCCCACGGACCCTGCACACACCCACATTCCCCCTCACAGGACCCGCTGGTGGTCACAGACGTGTATGAGCACACCGGCCACCCTGAGCGAGCGGCAGAGGTCCACCTGGACGCTGCAATGGCGGCTGCCAAG